TTGCTGAGGAAGATTGGCCCTGGGGTAACATCCGTGCCCATCTTCCTCTACTTTATTTATTTATTTTTTTTGTGAGGAAGATCAGCCCTGAGCTAACATCCGTGCTAATCCTCCTCTTTTTGCTGAGGAAGACTGGCTCTGAGCTAACATCTATTGCCAATCCTCCTCCTTTTTTTTCCTCCCCAAAGCCCCAGTAGATAGTTGTATGTCATAGTTGCACATCCTTCTAGTTGCTGTTTGTGGGACGCGGCCTCAGCATGGCTGGAGAAGCGGTGCATCGGTGCGCCCCCGGGGATCCGAACCCCGGACAGCCAGTAGCGGAGCGCGCGCACTTAACCGCTAAGCCACGGGGCGGCCCCATCTTCCTCTACTTTATATGGGACACCACCACAGCATGGCTTGACAAGCAGTACATCGGTGCACGCCAGGGATCCAAACCTGGGAACCCCGGGCCACCGCAGCGAAGCATGCGCACTTAACTGCTACGCCACTGGGGCGGCCCTCTAGCTGAATCTATTTTTTAAAGATTTTATTTATTTTATTTTTCCCCCCAAAGCCCCAGTGGATAGTTGTGTGTCGTAGCTGCACATCCTTCTAGTTGCTGTATGTGGGACTCGGCCTCAGGATGAACGGAGAAGTGGTGCCTCGATGCGCACCCGGGATCCGAACCCGGGCCACCAGCATCGCAGCGCGCGCACTTAACCACCAAGCCACAGGGCCGGCCCTGAATCTATTTTTTAATGCGTATCTCCATCATACATGTATGCTGTGTGTATGTATTCTGCATGTTATGGGTGTGTGTGTGTGTTTCTGTGGGTATCTGCTGCTGCCTTCCTGTTCCTCTCAGGGTTATGGGTTGCCTGATGCTGAGATGTAGAGGGAACTCTGAGACTTTGGATGATTCTCTCCCTTTCTCTGGGCCTCAGTTTCATTCTCCTTTATATAATTTTATTTATTTATTTATTTCCCCCCCCCAAAGCCCCAGTAGATAGTTGTATGTCATAGTTGCACATCCTTCTAGTTGCTGTATGTGGGACTCGGCCTCAGCATGCCCAGAGAAGCGGTGCGTTGGTGCGCGCCCGGGGTCCGAACCTGGGCCGCCAGCAGCAGAGCGTGTGCACTTAACCGCTAAGCCACGGGGCCGGCCCTCATTCTCCTTTATAAATGAGGGACTTGCACTCCATGATTTTGAAGGACTCTTGCAGATCTGACCATCCTTAACTTCATCACTCATCATATGGTTTAAGGACTTCATCCAAAGAGGGTCTAAATAAAAGTCAAGGGCTTAAAGCAACAGCAGCAGGGTTTAGAATCAGACTTTAGAAGAATAAAGTCCCAGACCAGCCCTCCCTGGCCTCAGGGGAGCCATGAAGCTCCTGGTCTGAAGCAAAAGCTGTTAGAATGCAAGGCTGGGCCCAAGGATCTGGATTGTGTCCCCACCCCCATGCTGGCCAGGCAAGGGGCAAAGTCTCTAAGTGACTCGCAGGAAGGAAGACTCCCATCCTAACTCCCCTAAGGGCTCTAAGGAGGCCAAGGGATGGAAGAGCAGCCATCCAAGATACAGCTCTGGGGGGGAAGTGTCCTTAGGTCCTACTGTGGCCCCTGCAGGCTCCTGATAAGCAGAAGGGCCCCCACCCTGATAGCCCCAAGTCTGCTTATCAGGGTCCCCAGACTACCCCACCCAGACTCAGACTCTCCTCCAGCCCACACCCTGATCACAGCACCCTCCACCCCAGCCAGGGGCCACAGCCACAGGATCTCTGGCTGGCTGAGATATCTCTCTCCTCTACCTCTAGGACCCCTGGGTTCTGTTCCTGCTCACCTTTGGACTTGGCCCCCAGGCACTAAGCAGAAGCCGGGGCAGTGAATGGCATGAAGTTTGGCCCTGGTGCATGGAGCCTTTACTCTGATAGAGGAACCTGAACTATCTGTGGGGTCTCTGAGCCGAAGTGGCCTGGCAGGAGGGGTCACAGGACAGGAAAGAGCGTTGCTGTGATGCAGGAGTAGACATAATGATAACTCCTCCCTCAGAGCACCTGGGTTTATAAAATTTTCTCACTTAATTCTTACAACTTGGTGAGGTGTGCATTACCACCAAAGCTCAGAGAAGTGGCACTTTGCCCCCAGTCACACAGCTAGTGAGTGAGACAGAAGAAAGGAGGACAGGAAACTGACATGAGTTCTGTACATGGTGGGGCTCTGATCTGGGAGTTTGAGAGTAGTGCTCACATAATCCTCGTAACCACTGTATGAGGGAGGTATGGATAGGTCCCATTTCACATTTGAGGAAACCGAAGCCACAAGCACTTGGCTCAAAATCAGAGAGCTGTATGCAGTGGAGTTGGGACTGTCACTCAAGGCCTGTTACCTCTAAACCTGGGTTCTCTCAATGGCCTCATGCTGCTTTCAAGAATATTCCGTGAGCTTTCAGATGTTCAACAACAGGTCTCACCTGCGGCCTCAGTGAGCTGCTGTGGGAAGGGGGTGAGGGAGGAGTTAACTAGTTTGAACCCCTTCTATGGGCCAGCACTAGTGCTAAGTGCTTTACCAGCAGCTAATCACCTGGCTCTCAGGACTCTGTGAATTGGGGAGTGTTATTACTGCTATTTACAAAGGAGAACAGGGAGGCTCCAAGAGAGAAAACAGACTTGCCTGAGAGAACTACAGTTTTGTCTGTCTGCCTTGCCAGGCCAGTCTCTCTCCTCCCCCACATTACATGGGGCTGAGCTCCATGTCAGTCATTTGACATGAACGTTTATTTAGTCACTACTCTGTGGTAGAGATACATTAGTGAACAAACCAGGCCCTCACGATTATTTGCTTGATGTAAATAATCATGTAAATAAATGAGCCCATAACAGGAGGATTTAACCAGCCTGGGAAGACTTCCCTGCAGAGATGACACTTAAAGATCTAAAGAGGCAATAGGAGTTAACTAGACAAGAAAGGAGGGAAGACCACGCCAAACAAAGGGAAGAGCTTGTGCCAAGGTTCTGTGGCAGCAGGAAATAGAACTCCAAAGAACAAAAAGAAGGTTGGGTCTCTCCTCCCACTCCCCACCCTGGCCACACCTGCCCCTGCAGAGGAAGGGTATAATTGCCTCCCAGCACACAGACCAGATTGTCTAGGTTAGGGGAGGGGGAGGGGGAGCAGATGTGTCTCTCAGAAGGGGGTCAAAGTAACAGAGGCCCTGCTTTTTTTTTTGGTGAGGGAGATCAGCCCTGAGCTAACATCCGTGCTAATCCTCCTCTTTTTCCCGAGGAAGACCGGCTCTGAGCTAACATCTGTTGTCAATCCTCCTCCTTTTTTTCTTCCCTAAAGCAGTAGATAGTTGTATGTCACAGGTGCACATCCGTCTAGTTGCTGTATGTGGGACGCAGCCTCAGCATGGCCGGAGAAGCAGTGCGCTGGTGCGTGCCCGGGATCCGAACCCAGGCCGCCAGTAGCGGAGTGCGCACACTTAACTGCTAAGCCACCGGGCCGGCCCCAGAGGCCCTGCTTTGAGAAGTCTCTACCCCAGGAGTCTCACCTTTCCTAGAGGCAGAGAACCGAATACTGCTAGGCTCTCACGCCAAGTGCCTTGAGCTCTGAAGAACAGGCCCCCACCCATTCTTATGCCGGCTCCTACAAGAGCTTGGGATTCAGCTGCCCTCAAATCTCCCAGCGAGGACTCTCCACCCAGGAGACCTTGCCATGGCAGAGGTGGACGAGGGGTCTGCCTGCCTAGGTCTTGCCTCCTCGGGCTCAGTATAAACATAGGTAGGGGCCTGGGGACTGAAATTTAGGCCAGAGCTTGCCCCAAGAATCCACAGAGATCCAGCTGTCAGGACCCTCCCTGCCTTATAGAGATTCAACTAACATTCCCACCACAAAAAAAAGAAATCACAAAAAACAAAAAACCACCACCTCCACCAGGGCTCTGACCAGCAAGTAAGCCCTGAAGGATGGGGTGAGGCTGTGCTTTCTCCTCCTCAGCCTAGCAGACAGATGACTAGCTTCATGGGGATGGCTGTGAAGGGTGGATCCTAGACTCAGCAAGGTCCATAAAAGAGTATGTGAGAAAGGGCCAAATAGGGAGAGAGGCCAGTTATCCTTGTTCCAAGGAGTCCAGCAGGAAAAGGGTTAAGAGGCAGGGCCTTCTAGAACCCGGGAAAGTGCCCCACCCATGGGAGGGGCCAGTAGATTAAAAGGCAAGCAGCTTGAGTGGAGAGGCAGAGACAGGGCCTCCCTACACGCAAAGGCCTCCCCAGTCTGCAGTTCCAGCTCCAAGTAAGTGCCCCTTCTCTGGGTCTGTCTGTCTGCTTGCTGGCTGACCTGAGGGAAACTTGTGCCTCATTATGTGATCTCCAGCTTGTTTAACTCTGGCGCTGGGTCCCTAAGGAGATCTCAGCAGACCCTAGCTCTATAGGGTTCTTCAGGCCAGTTTCCTTGCCTGATTCCCGTGGGCTTCCCTTGACCACAGAATCAAGGAGATGCTAGCCTGGGAGCTGTGGAGCAGGGAGTGGGGAGCTATGTGTGTCCAGCCCTGACCTGTCCTGCTCTGTCCCCAGTCCCTGGCTCTCACTGCCACAGTGCTCTCCAAGCCATGCTCCCTGTGCCCCCTGCAGGTCCCTGGCTGGGATATCATCATATACTGTAAGTTTGCGATGAGACACTACAGTATAGATGATGTACTAGTCCGGGTACCCCCAGCTCTGGAGCCTGATGATGAGGGCAGGGGATGCTGCAAGCCCACCAGGCTCACTGCTCAGCCTATCACAGCCTGCTGACCACCAGGGCACTTGGGAATGTCGAGGAAACCGTTACCATTACTGAGTTTAGTAATGGTAACGGTTCTCTTGCTGCACCCAGAAAACGTGCCAAGAAGAGAGCTCAGGACCCTGAAGAAGACTACTAGAAGGAAGACTCCAGTTCAGACACTGGGGTGGGGGTGAGGGAATGGGTAAATTTTCTCTTTCCTGTTCTAAAGAAATAAAGATGAGAACCAGAACACTTGTCTTTTAACTTTATTAGTATCTGAGAGTGGGGAGAGGGATGGGGTGGGAGGGATCAAAAACTTGGGGAGCAGGTGGGGGGCACTATCTCACCCAGGACACATGGGCCCTTATGCGGCTTCAAGGTGGAAGAACTGAGGGGAGAGGAAAAAGATCTAACAACTGGCAACTCAGGGAGAAACTCTGGGCCCGAGGCCAGTTGGAAGCCATGTGGCACTGCTCCTACCAAAGATCCAACTTCTAAGACCTAAGTAGCTGGGGCCCCAGGCAGAGGAACCACCTGGAAACTGAGCTAAAGTAGGTTCCTTCCTCCAACAGGAGACATGGCTGGGCCGGGGCTGTGCAGACTCTGCAAGGCCAGGCCAGCCAGCAGCCAATTAGTGTCCATGCTCCTCACTAGTCTGTGCAGGCCCCGGGCAGGGGCAGTTCTGGTCAGTGGCTCCTGCCAGTAGCTTGGACTGGGATGACTTGGGAGGGGCAGCAAAGGGTGGTCACTGGAGGAGCTTCACAGAGAGGCGGAGCTGAACATCGCAGAGGAAGATATCCATGAGGTCACGGCCCACCTCCTGTGCGATCTGGGAGATCAGGTGCCCCTTCGGACCAATCAGGATCCTCTGAGGGTGGGGTAAAAGAGAGGACATGAGCCAGCTCTCAGGGCTCCCAAGCAGTGGGAGAAGAGCCTCTGCCTAACAGAGCCTTGGTCCCTCCTTCAAGCCTTGCTCTGCTTACCACATGAGATTCTTTGGGCACCAAAAGCTTCTGTACAATCACCAGCTCCCCGCTTGGCCCTTCTTCCCACACGACTGTCTTCTGCACAGGGCGACATCATGATTAGTCAGGCAGGCCCATACCTCTACCACTCTGGGACCCAGCTGTCCTGCTCTGGGTGTATGCCTGGTGGAGAGCGCCCAGATCCCTTCCCTGTGCCTGCACCTGCTGCACATTGTAGGGCACCTCCTGGGGCAGGTGCTCTAGGAGCTTCTCTCGGATGATGTTGGTGCAGATCTCCTCAGGCGTCTGGCTGGTGAGGACTCCACTGTGGAACTCCCAGGGCCCTGGCTGGGCCTGTGCCAGAAGGTATTGCTATGGGCACAGAGGGAGTAGGTGGGCATCTCAGTCCCAACCAGGACTTTCCTACTCACTCACTTCCAGGAGGAACTCTGAGGCTTGTCTTCCCATGGTGGAAACCAAAGGGCCAGGCTATGGCCAAGGCTAACTGACCTTTAGTGTGTTCACATCCTCCTGGCTTAGGGCTGACAACATGAAGATCTCCTGGAAGTGGGGCCAGCCAATCTTCTGAGGGCCTCCCACAGACTGTGTGTCTGAGCCCTTAGCTGCTGGGCTGGGGCAATGAGTGCCTGGCTGTGAGCGGAAGGCCTGCTTCATCTTGAGCTTCTTGCCGTTAACCACACCTTCAGTGAGGGCTGCTGTGAGCTCCAGGAGAACTGATTTCTGCTTCAGGCAATCTACCTGGGCATGGGGGATGGGCAAAGGACGTGCGGTCAGTGAGATGGGCACCTTGGAGGAAAGCAGACCCCTTCCTCAGGTAGGTGGTGCTCACCTTGTTCATGACAAGGACGCTGGGCACTTGGGAGAACTGGGTCAGGCACTGGAGCACCTGGGGGCTGAGCTGGTTCCGAGTCCACTTGTCCGAGACATCCACAAGAACCACAACTGGAAGTTGGCAGTGTGGGGAAGGGGACAGGATATGACCACTTTTTCCCCCATGCCCCCAAAACTTCCATGGTATGGGCTCTGGCCAACCCCCACCTCCCAAACTACCAGGAATGAGAGGCCATGACCATGTAAATTGAGCTTCAGATTCCCATTATGAGCCTAACCCAGATCAGCAGATTCCATGCTCTTCCATGGATCTTCCAACAAAGAGAGCTCCAGATGGTGCCTGAGGGACAGAGATACATAGGTCAGGAAGGGTCTTATGACTGATGCACTCCTGATGAGGGATGGGGTGTGGTAGGGGGTTTTCCAGCCCCTATGATGGAATCTCCCCACCCCCTCTTCAACACTTTTCCCCCTACAGCCCCGTTTCCACAGTTATTACCTTTTCTGTTTAATGGGGCTGATGAGGCCAGGTGTGTCAAGTAGAATCTAAAATCAGGAAAGAGAGATGCCCAGACTCCCCAGGCCCCAGGAGGAAAGATTATGACTGGGGAGTGAGACAAAGGCCGCCCTTGATGTCAGGAGCCTGCTTTCCCCCTTCTTGGCCAAGCTGACTTCAGATTTTTGCCCTCCCAGCTTTGTTTTAATTCTAGATGGGATCCAGAAGGATCCCTGTGAATATATGGAAGATTAGGAAGCTGTAAAGAAATACTAGAGGGGAGCGGGCCAACCCTGTGGCTTAGTGGTTAAGTGCGCACGCTCCACTACTGGCGGCCCGGGTTCGGATCCCGGGCGCGCACCATCGCATGGCTTGTCTGGCCATGCTGAGGTGGCGTCCCACATATAGCAACTAGAAGGATGTGCAACTATGACATACAACTATCTACTGGGGCTTTGGGGAGAAAAAGGGAAAAAAAGGAGGAGGAAAAGGGAAAAAAAGGAGGAGGATTGGCAATAGATGTTAGCTCAGAGCTGGTCTCCTTCAGCAAAAAGAGGAGGATTGGCATGGATGTTAGCTCAGGGCTGATCTTCCTCACAAAAAAAAAAAAAAAAAAAAAGAGATACCAGAGGGGGAAGGTAGAGAGAGAATTGCACTAGGCCTAAAGAAAGAGGAGACTCCCTTTCCTCAGAGAAGTAAGTCTAAACATCATTTTTTTCAGGTCTAACAGTAAGGGAGACCCTCTTAGCTTCACCCTCTGTCCTCTTTGTTGGACTACCTTTGCAGGTACCCACCACCTGGGCCTCTTTCTCTGTGATGACCCCCAGAGCTTGGCAGCGAGTGGTGTGCACCTTCTTGGAGACAGGGAACACCTGCCGGGAACAAAAAAGTCCCCAGTGAGGTCCCAGATCCCTCTAGGACAACCCATGAAGGCACAGTAAGAAGTGAGAAATGAAAATGGTGGGTGAAGGGGTCAAGAATGCAGCATACTTTTCGGCCCAGCAGCTGGTTGGAGAGTGTTGACTTCCCTGCATTCGGGGCACCCAGGAGGACCACTCGTAGGACCCGGGGGTTCTCAGGCATGTCGGGGTGATGAACCAAGAGGAGATCCTGCTCATCTGTGTGGAGGGGTGGGAGAGGAGTGAGAGAGAGTGAAATCTGGATCCCCTGTCAGGTACTCAGTCCTACCCACCAAGAAAGAGAGAAGGGATAAAAGATTAGTGCACTAGGCTGAAGCTGAGACCTGGCTTTGAGACTCAGTTTGTCCATTAATTTGTTAATATGACGTTATCAAGTCCTCTAACCTCTCTAAGCCCCTTAGTTTTCTCACACGTATAATGAAGATGCCATTAATATACTTATTTATAACGATCCTTTGACAATTGACACTCAGCACAATGCCTGCCACTTAATACTCAATTACTGTGTGAAATTGTACTGTGTTGTTGTGCCTGGGAAACATATGTACACGAGTGCAAGTACAGCTAGACCAGAAAGAAATCCCTCCAGCTTTGATTACTTCACCCTACTAAGGGTGTTAGGAAGGCTCTGCAAGCTCTCTCGCTCTCTTTGTATTAGCTCTTTACCATATTGCGTTGCAATGACTAGTTTATGTGTTCAGCCTCCCTACCAGACTCTAGTCTATGCTACTTGAAGAATAGACGGTGCTACTCCCCAGATGTAACTCATGTCTTGAGGGCACTTATTGGATCGAGTTTGCTTCCCATGAGGAGACAGCCATAACTCCGCCTTGCCTGTGGCCCTTCAATCTTGTGCTCTTTGTGAGCGTCTCTGGTGGTGACCAGATCGGTTCCCTCTGGCTCGTAGTCTTAGAACTCGGTATCTCTCTCCTGTGAGATCCTTCACTGCTCGTCTCTCCTCGGGGCCTCGAGATCGTTTTTTATAATATAGGACCAAAGATGATACCCCCAGAAACTGAGGGAATTCCCCTAAACGAGACTTTCAGGATTAAAATCGTGACAGTCGCGGACAAATCTATCTAGGCTCTTTACCTTTGTGCACGGGCACGGCGCGGACGCCAGGAGTCAACGATCTGTCGGGCTCACCGAGTCCGAGGAAGCGGTCCAGGGCTGAGCTCTGGCCATAACGCCTAGAGGCCGAGGCCAGGAGGGGACCAGAGAAAGCGGCGCCGGCGACACAGGATACGCACTTCCGCTGACAGCCCAAGGACGAGGTGAACCGGCTCGCCCACTCCCCGGCGGCGACAGGGCCCAGCTGCCAGACCCCTAACGCCGCTTGAAAAAGCGCAGCCCCGCGCCGGCTGGGGGCAGCCATTACAGCCGCAAGGCACTCCGGGAACTGACCAGAAACGCACCTACAATTGGATAGAGTGGGGGAAAGGCGAGCGAGCAGCAGAGAGCTAGATGGGCCCAACAGAGAGCGGAGATATAAGGGATGTTGGAGGTAGGATGGGGGAAGAACTACTCTAGAGACTGGCCGAGGCTAAGGGAAGAGGAAAATGGGTATTTAGAGTTTGTGTGAGCATGACGATCGTTTTGTACTCCTGTATACATCGTGTTTTCTTCTCCTGCCAGAGTTTTGTATAAGGCCATTTTAGCCCTGCCTCCTGAAAGACTACATCTCCCACGAGGCCAAGCTTCAGAAATCCTTGTCTTAGCGCCTGACGTCACCCAGCTGGAAAAACCCGCGTAGCGAAGTAGTGGTCGTGGGTGTGCAAGCGGGCACTGTCCTGGCGGTCCCCGTTAAGGGTCTTTTTAGGTCTCTCCAGCCTCAGGCTTGCAGGATCCTCTGCCAATCCCGCTTTGGCTTGGCCTAACGGTCGGCAGCGGCCGTGGGTCGGTGTTCTCGATGAGCAGCAGACCCGGATTTCCCTCCTGTAAACCTGGGCTAATATCTCCTCTCTGAGGCCATTCCTTTCGGGAGAAAAACCAGAGGGTCTGCAAAGGGAGAAGAAGCTGCTTAGTCGCCTAGGATTTCCCAGACTGCCTGGGAATCCAGCAGCCTGAGGAACCTTGGCCGATTTGTGGCCTTAAGCATTCTTTGTCCTTTGAAGCCTCTCAATCAAACTCTTCAAATTGAGAGATAAACGTTGCGGAGATTGGAGGGAATGGGGATTCATTAAGGATATACTATGTACAGGCCCTCTCCGGATGCTGGGGTTACAGCAATGAACAAAACGGACAAAATTCTCCATCATTTGCATCCTGGAGGCCGTGAGTGTGTGTGACAAATGTTAGTGACCTGGGGGCCGCGTGTGTGACATACATTACTGACCTGACAGGCAGTCTGGGTGAAAGCCTAAATGGAGTGGGTTTAAGAGAGGATGAGAAGAGAGAAATTGAGGATAGCCAGAATATATATATATATGCAACTCTTTCAGGGGAGCAAAGCAAAAGGGAGTGGTAACAGAACAGGAGGAGAGAGGAGTGAAGTGAACAGAGGGGTTTCTTTTCTTTCTTTCTTTTTTTTTTTGTGAGGAAGATTAGCCCTGAGCTAACATCCAATGCCAATCCTCCTCTTTTTTACTGAGGAAGATCGGCCCTGAGCTAACATCTGTGCCCATCTTCCTCTACTTTATGTGGGACACCGCCATAGCATGGCTTGACAAGCGGTGCGTGGGTGCGTGCCTGGGATCCGGACCCGTGAACCCCAGGCCGCTGAAGTGGAGGACATGCACTTAACCACTACACCACCGGGCAGTCTTTTCTTTTTTATATATATATTTTTGTGTGTGTGTGTGAGGAAGATCAGCCCTCAGCTGACATCCATGCCAATCCTCCTCTTTTTTTTGCTGAGGAAGACCGGCCCTGAGCTAACATCTATTGCCAATCCTCTTCCTTTTTTTTCTTTCCCCTTTTTCTCCCCAAAGCCCCAGTAGATAGTTATATGTCATAGTTGCACATCCTTCTAGTTGCTGTATGTGGGATGCTGCCTCAGCATGGCCGGACAAGTGGTGCGTCGGTGCGCGCCGGGATCGGAACCCAGGCCGCCAGTAGCGGAGCACATGCACTTAACCACTAAGCCACGGGGCCGGCCTTGGTCTTTTCTTTTTTAAAATAGGAGATTTTTGTTTGTTCATGGCAATGATCCAGTAGAGAGGGAAAAATTGATGATATAGGACAGAGGGGAGAATTGTTGGAAGATGGTGAGAACCAAATGGCCAGGCTGCGATTGTAGGAATGGAGGCTGTGTCCAGAGAAGCTCTGAGTGACACAGGATTGACAGAGCCTGGGCAGCCAAATGCACTGATGGTTCGCAAATGGCACCAGGCTCCAGCTTTCAGGCTGCCTGCTATGTTAGTGGAAGGAACAGCCTTTTTGGAACATGATATTCTGGATGTTGTTTGGGCACCCATATGCCCAAAGAACAAGATGCCACTAAATACATGACAACAAGCAATCAGAAAAATATGAATCTTCTTTCATGGACGTTAGGTGAAATGCCATTTCAACTGTAATTAAGGTGAAGGGAAATTTCAGATTAAACAGTGGTTGAAGAGCTTAATTACATAAATGCAAAATCACCCAATGAACACATATTAAGTACTACACTGCTGGCAACAGATAATACTGTGAAAGAATCCCAGGGCTGACACAAACATTAGGGGAAATGAGTCAAAGTGGCTTATTAATTCTCTTCTTTCCCAGAGATTTTCCTTCAAAGGATACTGTGGGGGAATTTTGTGTTTTGTGACATTAGGAGAGGCTAATCAAATGAAACAGACTGCCTGGGGTCATATCTCAGCTTGCCACTTATTAGCTGTTTGAGTTTGGAGAAGTTATTTAAACTCTCCAAGTGTCAGCTTCCTCATCTGTAAAATAAAGAAAATGATAATAAACATATCTACCTAATATCATGTGCTCCTTTGAATCTAAAACTTAAAACAATATAGGCTCGGGCCGGCCCTGTGGCTTAGCGGTTAAGTGCTTCAGCCACACTGGCTTTTTTCCATCTCTTGAATAGACTAAGCTCATTTCTGCCTCAGGGCCTTTACACCTGCTACTCCTACCTCTTATGTTCTTGTAGATTTGGCTTCTGCTCCCCATTCAAGTCTCAGCTTAAATGTCACTTCCTCAGAGAGGGTTTTCCTCACAGCATTTATCACTGCCTGCAATGATCCTATTGCAGTGCCTGGAATGTTATAAGAGGCTCCTCAGGGGTCTTCAGGGTCTTTGATCTTACCAACCTCCTCATGGCCCCAATCTGACCAAGTCACTCCCTTGCTTCACTACCATCAGAATAAAGTACAAACTAATTAACGTGTCTCTGGCTTACTTCACCAGTCCCATCTCATCACTATTTTTCAGCTCAATTGAATTTTTTTAGTCCCTCAATTGCCTCGTATTCTCTTTCACTTTCAGGCCTTCCTATAGACTGTACCTTCCGTGACTGGTTAAATTCTCTCTTAGGATGCTTTTTCCTCCTATGACAAGGCAGTTTATAATATAGTGACTGAGCGCACAGATTATTGAGCCAGACATCCTGGGTTTGATTTTCAGCTCCATTATTTACCATGTGACCCAGGGCAAGTAACTTCTCCCGACCTCAGTTTCCTCACCTTTAATTTTAATCATCAGTGACAAGCAAACTCGGCTGCCTCCAGCATGTCTGTGACACTCCATTTTCGGCATTCTCAACCTTTACTCTAGGGTATATTCTTGCTTCTTTCCAAAATGAGGGAAACTTTCCTTAATCTTAGATTAGCAGTTCAAACATTTATACCAGATCCTGGGATCAGGAGTAGCTTTTGCTTTCCCTAGGAGAGAATTTAACACCCTTCACAGAAAGAATGGAACTTTTTTTTTTTGGCCTTATGTTATATCTTGGTCTCTATCTCGCCAAACTGGATTGTAGTGGGGAGACTGAGCTGGAGGTGGGATGGAAGAGTCATAGTGATAAGGAGAGAGTTTAGTCCTGTATCTCCTCTTCCCTTTGACTGGAGTGCACTGCCCGCAGCTTTCAAGTGTGTATTGTTGAATTCTCAGGACTCAATTGAGCCCAGTCTCTTGTTGGGCAATGCCAAGGCAGCTTAGTGGTCTAGGGGCTGATAGTTGGGCCTCCTTGGGCTAAAGGTTTGGTTTTCATTCACTGATTTGCACAACGGCCGGGTCCACAGTCAGAGATGGGAAGTAGGGGACAATTAGCCTGCAAGTCCCTCGATGGCACATATGAGATGCCTAGAACATTTTAGTCCAAAAAACAGTATGTGCTTAATAAAGGAACTGAACATAGCAGTGTCCCAGTGCATTCTAGGTGCAGTCACCTCCCTGACAAGGTCCCCAGGGCTTCCGAGCACCTCCTGGCCCGTACTGTACTCTGGGATGTCAAAGTCACCTCTTACACAATTACCTCTAATGCATTCTATAGTTTTTTTTATAATTTTATTTATTTATTTATTTTTTCCCCCAAAGCCCCAGTGGATAGTTGTATGTCATTGCTGCACATCCCTCTAGTTGCTGTATGTGGGACGCCGCCTCAGCATGGCCGGAGAAGTGGTGCGTTGGTGCGCGCCCGGGGTCCGAACCCGGGCCACCAGCAGCAGAGCGCGCACGCTTAACCGCTAAGCCACGGGGCTGGCCCTCTCTAATGCATTCCAGATGTGATTGTCTTCTTGAAAGAAACGTAAACTTATTATCAGTGGTCACCTCAGAGCACCCGAATTCAGGCCTTTAAGCGCAAGTGGGATCCAGAACCCTAGAAGTGCCGTTAAGTCTATGACCCCTTATTCGCACCGCAGTCCAAGCGTTTAATAACCTAGGCAAGATATTCCAGAGGCCTCAGACCCTGGGGCAGCCGCCAAAGCCTATAAGCCTAAATAGTCCTTGAAGCCAGCGGCCATGTCCACCTGAGACCCGGGGATCCAGGGCATCAGGCACTGAGGAAGACGCCCCCAGCACGGGCTGCGCAGGCGCGGGCGGCCCGAGAGGGCCCCGGCACTCCAGGCTGCGCAGGCGCAGGAGCAGCTCCCGGCGAGTGCCGACGGCTGTGGCGGCGGCTGAGGGGCCGGGGCGTGGAGCAGCGGTGGCAGCGGCGGGCGGCTACTGAGCAGCCATGAGGGCCGGGCCCAGTCACCGACAGTGAGTGGTGATGGAAGGCGGGTGGGCGACAGGAGGGAAGGGGAGTGGCTTGGTGGAAGGATACCTCAACTTGGGGTGTGGGCTCTGCCTGTTGGCGGCGAAGGGGCGTGGGGGAGGGTCAGTTCGAGGTGGTGATGGGAGAATTTGGGGCACGGGTGGTTAGATCGCCGGCCCCAGGGCTGGACAGCTTGGCGGCGGGAAGGGGGTGCGCGGTGCACAGTGAAGGAGCTCGCGGCAAGGGTAGTGTCCCGCGCTCTCCC